ATTAGAATTTCCACAACCACTATTAGCATTTTTTAAAGAAGGATTCAGTGATTTATTTGTTAATATACACAGAATTCTTCATGTGGAAATTACAAAGTAAGGAACAAGGCCTGTATCATCAGCTGCTATTAGTGCAAGACAAAACAAACCTTTACAAGTACTGCATCAGAGAAACTAGTAAGCATTTGATTTTTCTTTATCTCTCTGATCTGAACAGCTGATGGAGAAATTATTATTCCTCTGTTAACTTCCCTGTATTTCTTTTGCTAGAGAGAAACCTTCAGACATCTTTTTAGTCTGACGTATCATTTAGCAATGTCATTTTAGTATACTGAGCTTGTTTCTCTCCTATTTTGTCTATCATTATACAAGCACAAATCTCCCAAGTGCTCTCTTTCAAATAAAATGGAACACAGGCTTTATTAAAAAGGTCATCTTTAAAATTATATACAATAAATTCAATACTGGCAAAAATCTTTTGTTTTAAAAGCATTTCTCCCTCATCCCATATTTCATCTCCATTGAATATTAAGAAGCACAAATCAAAAGATGGGGCTTGTTGGCTGCTTCAGACTAGAGACATTTCCTTTTACAACCACAGCATTAAAGTCTGATCTAGTGACATCTCTGTAATTATTGAGGCTGAACCCCAAGACATGGACCACAAGCACGCCATCATTTCCTCCTGACCCCCAAATCTGAGCTATCATTTTTTTCTTAACATTAATTTCCCATTTATGTTCTTCCCCTGTATCTATACAGACAGTGAAGAGGGACATAATCTTTCTTCCTATCATAAATCATGCAGATGAGCTTATCAAGTCCAAACAGAGTCTCTGGATTGTTAGGTGAATAAAAAGCTAAAATTAATTTTTAAATGTCAGAAGCACATAGATATTCCAATGGCTTTTCAAGATATAAATTAATCAAACACATTTATGATAATGTAGAATTAAAAAAAAAAAGGTCCCATATATCTTTGCAATTTCTGAAGACTGAATTTTATAGTTATTTAGTTATCCAACAACACTGACTGTCAAGCAACGCAGCATTAGCATGACTTTGGTCAATGGGGCTACTACGCTGCTGCCTCTGAAAATCTGGGAAGGCAGCTCCCTGCAGCACTGTTCAACAACGATGCCCCTTAACCTTTCCCACAACATCATCTTGGTTTCTCCTCTCTTTCTTCCTTCTCTACATTATTCCCTTGTTTGGGCTGTAAATCTCTGCTGCTGGGTGGTCTTTGTTCTCTGCTGCTTTCTGACCCAGAGCATGATCAGATGCCCACTGGGTGCAGTGACCAACCTTCCTTGCCTACATGAGTCCACAAGTGGCCACCTTCCCAGTTTTCTTAGTCTTTTTATTTGCTTTTGTTTCCCCTCTGGATAATCATTTGCCCTTTAAATTCATAAAGGAAAGTCAGATTGTCCCCAAATGCTACTCCTGCTCACAGTGCATCCCTCCCAAAAAATCGCTCTGGGGAAGAAGCCAATGTTTTGCCTTGCCTCCCCCAGTTCAAATGCCTTATGGCCTGCCACAAGGCAGGCTTAAGAGATCCTGGGCACAGCACTGGCTGTGCCTCCTGCCCAGCTATTCATCCCTCTGGCTTTTCCTGTAGGGGAGCAGCTCAGTTCCTGCTGTCTGTCACAGGATGGGAAGGAGATGGCTCAGCAAGATTCATATTCCAAAGTACCACTTTTTGTGCAGCCACAGGAAACTTGCCAAAACCTCTACAAGTACTTTCTTCCAGCATGTGAGGAGCAATCCTTCAAATAAGAGAACCAGACTGGCAGGTCTCTCCACTCTGGGATGCAGAGAGTGGAGCGCTGCCCCTGCCATCGAGCTGCTGCTGAGGCCAGGCAGCACCGGCCTCATGGAAACCTGGGCTGGAGCAGTCAGGGAAGGGAAAATGGGGTTATACCCTACAGGGGAACAGAGAGCCTTGGAGACCTGTTCAGACAGAGCTACTGCTCTGTCCTTTCCACAATCACTTGAGGATCACACACATGCCATCCCACCCTACAGAGGCTGAGCTGCTTCTCATACTGAAGTCTGTGTCTTTTCTCCTCAGCTGATCCCAAAATTATGTTTGCTGCAGCTGCCAGCAGCTCTCTGGCTCCTGCCATCCCACCATGTTCTGCAGGCTGCAGTGGGATCTGTGCTGTGGCAGGCAGACAGCATGGAATGGGAAAGGCTAAAGAGGAGGCTGATCACACTGTCCATGCATAAGTGTCCAGATCCAGGGGGATGGATGTCATACAACAGTCTAATGTGCCAATAATTAAAAGGAGATATTTATCTTGCATGTCCTCAAAAAGACACAAACAAACTACAAACCAAAATGTGCAAATATACAAAGTGAAACTGTCATCAAAAGAAGTCTCTCATCCTTGAAGCATGCAGAAGATGAAAACCTTCTCTCCTTCCCTCCCTCCAAATGTGGCTCCAGGTTATGCAAAACTCAGAAGCAAATCAGTGCTAGCACATACTGCATAGGAAAACAATGGTGTTTTTTACTGTTGAGGGAATGGTTATGTACTGCTGAGATGTTGCCATAAAAGCAGACTTGAAACACTGCCATAAAATTCACCTGTGCAAGCACACCACTTTCTTTCCCAACCCTGCAAGAACCATAAAGTAGTAGAAACAAAACACCCTAGTAGCAGTCTAGTTTTCAATGAAAACAAATTACACATGCTGAGGAGATGTAAACCTCTCCCTATCTTCTGTAAGTGCAGATGGCTCTTTGTAAATATATATAGAACAGGAACATATTGCACCTGTTTGTTGTTTGTTAGTTGTTCCTAAAATGAGGACTAAGTAACCATGTATTAGTTCAAGGACACTAAAAACCGCATAAATGCTGGAAAATCCTGTGAGGAGAAGAGAAAATGCTTTCTATGCACAAATCAGGAGTCTAGCTCTCCCCTAAGCTGCTGAAGTCCAAACTTGCAAGCTGGCAGGCAAAGACAAGAGCATATAATGGCAGGGTGAAGGAAGCTGAGACAGGACAATGGATACCTTCTGCCACACCCTAGAGAACCCATAGTACAAACTTATGCCAAAGCCACACTGTTAAGACATGCAAGATGTACTATATTTCTCCAGAACATTTCTCCCCAGGAAAAACAACTTAAAATAGAGAATTTTGGGGGAACAAAGCTTTATTTCAACAAATGCTTTTTAAAACCAAAATCTAATCCAACCAGAAATCTGTGCCATGAATTGTTTCATACACATCTACTTTTTTCAGCTTAATTTTTTTCCCAGTCAGTGCCTTTTGGTTACATCCACTGTGAGGATGGTTCACAGCAAGACTCCGCATACAGCACAGCTGGAAATGTGAGTTTCCTCTGTTGATAAAGTCTCTGGCTGTGGTACTGAAGGGGAAAAAACCCAAACAAGACAAAGCTGACCAAAATTCCTCTACATATGGAATCTCATTCAAAGGTTCAATTTACTCTGCCCTATCACACACCATGTGGGAATTAATGGAAGTAATTAATGGAAGTAATTACTTCAATTAATCAGGCCCTTTTGCTGCTTTCCTTAGGGATCTTCCTCTCCTCTTCCTTCCATGCTGGCAGACTGCAGACAGGCATCAAAAACAAGAGCCAAATTATACACATATCTGCTGTGGGAGGCCTCACTGACACTCTAATCTTTCTGTGCTGGTGTGCCAAAGGAAGAGGTCCAGAAGAATTTGGCCACCAGAATTATAGCCCCATCTGAGAAACAGCTGCTGGAATTTTCATTCAAAACAAAATCCAATCCAAAGGCAGACTTTTGGAGAAAACCTGTAGAGGACCTCAAGCCAATAACCCTCCAATGCCAACTAGAGAGCTCATTTCTGAAGGAGGTCAGTAATACTGAGGGGCCTACCCTGTGGCTGCCAAAAATCCGTGGAATGACCAGCAATTCCCTACTGTGATGTGATGGTACTTTACTTGTAATGAAGGCTGTAAGCAAAAATTTAAACCTGGAAAATATTTTGTGCACCCTTAGATGTAACAGGGAGTTGAGATCAGCAAAGCATTTGCTAAACTGGCTGCAGAGGCCCCACAGTCTGATGAATAATTAATAAGCTTTGGAGACTTAATATAAACTCAAAGGTGGAGTCAATGAGGAACAGAGCTCTAGAGAAAAAATCAATAGCATTAAAAGCAAAGTAAGGATAAAAACAATAAATCCATTTTGTCTTTGTTCTTCCTTTATCTGCTACAAGATGAAGCAGCAGGGAAGTGCTCCCTTTAGGCAGTGCCAGCCCCTTTTCCCCCTCATGAAAGGAGTGTCCTACGCTATACCTGCGGTGCTGAAATGTACGGAGCTTTCCCACCTTTGAGCACTGCACACTTCTCTACACAATAAAAATCCTGTGTTTTCAAAGGTGATGAACTCCCTTAGTTCGCAATAGCTCCAGCATTCCTGAAAACAAAGTTTTACACTGTGGGTTTTTTTTGTTTTGTTTTGTGTTTTTTTGGTATGTGTGTTTTTCTTTTTTCCCCCATCTTTTCACCGAAGAGCCTTTGTTACAGGCATATTCAGAGAATCAATTAGGTAGGGAAAGACCTTTGAGTTCATCGAGTCCAACCTATGCTCTAACACCACCTTGACAACTATTCCATGGCAGTGAGTGCCCCGTCCACTCTTTCCTTAAACACCTCCAGGGACAGTGACTCCACCACTTCCCTGGGGAGCCCGTTCCAATGTCTAATAACCCTTTCTATGAAGAAATTCCTCCCAATGTCCAACCTAAACCTCCCGTGGCATAGCCTGGGACTACGTCCTCTCATCCTTGTCCCTGTTTGCCTGGGAGAACAGTGACCCCATCTTCCCCTTAGTTCCCGCTGGGACGCTCTGGCATCCCAGGGCTCCAAGGGCACGAGAACAAACGCGCTGCCAGAGCCGGCAGCGGCGCTGCCAGGGCGGACCGGCCCTCACAGCAGCGCCCGCCCCCGCCGGCGAGACGGGAGGAGCGACAGGCCCCGGAAACCGGAAAGGGAAAAAAATCCCAAGTGAATCCCCGCCCTCAAACCCGTCAATTCCCACCCAAACCGCGCCCGCCCGCCGCGGTGACGTCGCGCACTCCGCTCGGTGCGACGTGTCCCTCGGCCGGCGGTGAGGGCGGCTCGGCGGGCCCGGGGCCCGGGTGTTCCCGGCCCTGGGAGACGGGGATCGGGGATCGGGGATGGGGCCCGGGCAGCGGGGATGGGGATGGGGAATTGCCGGGGCTGCGGCAGGCAGCGGGACCTCGGCCGGAGCGGGGGGAAGGGGGACGAGAGGGGCCGGCATCGCCCCAGGAGGCTCCTCCGGGCGGTCCCTATGGATTGGTGGGAGCAAATCCCTGCGGTGCGTGTCCTGCGGGCGGTGGCAGTGCCGGCACACGGCTGCTGGGAGAATGAGGCTCGGCCACAGCGTTCTCTCTCTGTGCTCACCAGCCCCTGCTTTTGGTGTGGGGGTCGCCTCAAACCGGCGACTTTTGTCTATTTAGGCGCCTTTGGTGGTGTTCTCAGAAACATGGCGTAGGACATGAGCTGAACATCAAAGTGTGATGGAGCTGTTTTCCTCTTCTGGGCTGAAAGGCACAATTTTCCATATTTTTTTCTATTGCAGTTAGAAAGAGGCCCTCATGTTTATTTACTGAAACATTGTCTTCATTTCCTGCAAAGGGAAGTATCTTAGGTTGGAATGTGACACTTTAGGTTATTATCTTAAGCTTTTAACAAATTTTGTAGGTGACTGCTACTAATGTACTTAAAAAATTCTGGTTTTCAGTATATATGTGAAACCATTAATGCTAAATGTGTCTGTCTTTGCAGGCAATCATGGATCAGGTAATGCAATTCGTGGAACCCAGCCGTCAGTTTGTAAAAGATTCCATACGACTTGTTAAGAGATGCACCAAGCCTGACAGGAAAGGTAAAGCACACAATAAACTAGAACACAACCCATTTCTCATCTTGTATCTTAGCACATGTCTTTCCATATGTCACTTCTGTTGATTCGTTGGCTATGGATATTTCTCAGCTGCCAATCTGAGATTAAATTTGAGCTTTAGTTGTCTGAATGTTAGTGTGTTTAAGGTTCTGGCTATAATAAACACACGTATGTAGGTGTGTGAGTAGTACTATAATTCACTTTAGGAGAGAGGTTAAGTAGCTGAAATTCAGTTGTCAGTCATTGCCTGATTGGGACGGGAACAATTTTGTCACTGGGAGTATGGAAGAGGAGGTTTTGGACTAGAGAGGCCCTGGAGAGAAGCTATAACTAAAACAACAATGCAGCTGGTCCTCTGAAAGTTACAGTGCTTTATTCATGTGCTCAGAGTGAACAGGTCTATGACTTAAGTTTGCTGTTGAGATCCATAAGGAACTTCATTCCTTGTCAGATTGGCAGGTTTCTGAATACTTATCCTAAGTATTCGATTTTAGGGGGGTCTTACGGTGCTGTCCTCCTGTGACTGACATAACTACATATTTTCCATTTTTGATGCTGTATTAGAGATTACTTTCAGGGCTTGTAGGGATGTAAAGGAAACATGATGGGATAAATGTGTGAATTGACATTGTGGATATGTATGATTCTGCTTATTTAAAAAAGATTGTGACTGGCCATTCGTTGTAGAAATTCACATATCTCTGAAAATATCTTCTGTGTTCTAAAAAAGTGGATTTGTCTCTTGGCATCTGTGCAGACTTTGATGTGTTAACATGGTTCTGTAAAGAGAGATCTCTGGGCACTGCAGTGCACGTCTGTGTGCCATACATGAGACATCCTGACAAGTTTTTTTCTGTTTTTTTGCAGAGTTCCAGAAGATTGCCATGGCAACAGCAATAGGCTTTGCGATAATGGGATTTATTGGTTTCTTTGTCAAATTGATCCATATCCCAATCAACAATATAATTGTGTAAGTGAATATGGCCTTCAGTTTCACTAAATTTTTACCTGTTCAGTTTTAAACAGAGGACATTAGTGAGCCCTACTCATGTTGCATTAGTGTCTGTGCAAAGGACTTCATGAACAGTGTTAATGAACTTTATGTTAATTCAGCATGATGCAAAGCATTAGATCCATAATTCTTCAGTTTTTTTTCTGAGTATTCTTCAAAACTGAACATCAGATACTTTGATTTTCAGTTCCTCATTGTATGTTTGACCATAGAACATTTACCTTATTTGAATCTTATACGCTCTTAATATTTCCAGTTTATAGTTTGGGTATCCAAAGTAAATGGATGGATGGTAAGGTAAAGAAAACTGAGTGGGTATGCTGTAGGATGACAAGGCACAGAACAAAGTTGGTCTTGTTTAATTTACTGAGTGCTAGATACATTTGAAACATTGTTTTATGTGTAACTGCATCCTGTAAAATCCCTTTTGGAATGAGTGAAAAATTTGAACTTCAAGTTGACTGGCACCATGGTACTGACATACTGACAGTACCATATTCTCCAGAGCTAATGTGATCCCCTCTCCAGCACTGGAAAATGTTAAAGACCATTCTGTGTCCACAAAATGTGACTTCCTTATACCTGTAAGAGTGGTCATCTAGGCAAGGAGTGTTTGAAAATGGGAGATAAGCTGTAGTGGTTGTCCTAATAAGGCAGTGGTGGGAGGATAAGTGAGACTTCAGGTGGGGGATCACTTGATCACACTTCATTAGTTGAAACTGATTACTTTGTTCTCTCAACAGAGGTGGCTGAATATTCATCATGAAGAAGACAGTTGTGACACCTGCTGCAATGATTTCACAGCTTTAATTTGTTTGATATTAAACAAGCTCAGTTTGCATTTTCAAACATTCTTGTCATCTTATTACTTTTTTAAAGTGTATGTGAGCATACCTGTCTACAGGCTTGCTTTTTTTTCGGTAATAGTAGTTGTGTGCTTTTGTTACTTCTTTAACCATAATAGAATCATTCAGGTGGGAAGGAAGCTTGGAAGATCTCTAGTCCAATGTCCTGCTTGAAGCTGGGTCAGTGTTGCATTCTAATGAGGTTGCTTAAGATTTTCTCCAGTCAAATACTGAAAGCTTCTATGGGGGACAGCTGTATGACCTCTCTTCAGGAGCTGTTTACAAAGCAGTAAATTAAGCTTTGGAACAGTATTGTTCCAGCAAAAGCAGACTGCAAGAAAATAGCCTTTCTATATCCTTTGAAGCGGTGGTGTAAAAGTGTGTGGGAATTCCTGTCACTATTTTCTGGAATCCCCATAATTATCACAAAATCCTTTCTGCATTTGGAAGTCATGCTAGGTTATAGTATGTACTTGACATAAAAAAAACCCTTGTGTCAAACAAAGAAATTGCATTGCCAGTCCTTATTCTGATGATGTAATTTAAAAACCCAAACATAATTGATTACTGAGCTATACCATTTGAGGATAATTTAGGTGTCAGAGACACTATGCAGTCCTTCAGCAAATCCACAACTTGCTCACACTGTTGGATGGGATATACACCAATTTTGGATCCTGTTCTGTACATAGAATCATATTGGCACCTGCATGTTGACCTGGAAGTTTCCATTATTTTAAATGATTGCATATTTTGATTGTAAGAACTAAACATGCAAAACCTCTGGTAGATGCAATGCTTTTCCTCCTCAGATTGAGATAAAAGACATTTAATTCACTTAAAAAATCTTACTGTAAGCATTTGGTATTTGCAGAAGGTACAATGGTACTTCTGTTACAGACTTTAAAAGCAAGCACTTGGTACTGGACACCTGATACACCAACTTGCTCCCTAAGTAGAAAAGTTCAATTATTATTATTCTTGAGAAATCTTCACCAGCACCTACATATGTTACAAACCAGGACAGAAAAATGAGGTTAGTTAATCTTGGTGCTATCACCTTGTCATACAGTTATACTATGTGCAACTTGGTACTATATTTCCTTTTGGCATGAGGGGGAAAATAGTTAAGTATTGGAATAAAATACTTTGTAAAAGTAGCCTGAACTAACCAGATAAGCAGTAGCAGTTTCTTTACATTCATTTTGGTTTGTGGTTGTACTGAGTGGCTGCTCATGCATCTTCTGATGAAGTAGTGTGATTTACCAGAATGAAGTACACTATTATTGGAAGTAATTTTTATTCAATCTCAAGTGACTTTTATATTAGACTTTTTTTGCATTCAATACAGAAAATCAGTGCCTGCTTATATCTTGTAGCAGCTTTACTGTCTTAATTCAGTAAAATTTTGTAGTAATTCGAGTTGTGTCAGATCAGAAATGGCATCTGTAGCTGAGCTTATCTCTTGATAGCCATTGTCCACAGCAAGGGTTTGTCCGTCTCAATGGTCACAATCCCGGAGTTGTCATAGGTGTTGGAAGTACTGACGAGCGTTCCAAACTTCAGCACCTGGTTAGCTGTGAAAAGTAAGGAAGAGACAGTGGTTCACTAAAACAATACAATGACATCAGTGCACTTGATTTGAATGACCACCGCTCCCACAAAGAACAAAAAAGAGCTGAATAAATTCAACCCGGACAAACATTACCTAGTTAGAAGGCTTGCATGAGATTTTTCAGTGACCTGAAGAGGCAATAAATTAATCCCCAAATTAACAGTTTGAGTTTATGGCAGGTTATTACAAAAGCAGCGTGACAGATAATCCTTAGAGTTTCACATCTGAAAATTTGTATTTCATTAGAATCAGTTCAAGTAGTAGTGCTAGAAAAGGTATTTAAAGTAAAACAAAGAGAATCTTAATGTAGTTCCAAACTTGGGATTTGCTTTAGCTCAGCAACAAGCCTGTAATCTTTTAAAACATGAACAATTCTAGAACAAAGGCCAGCCGTTAAAAGTGATATTTAACAACTTTGAATTAAGGTACTTGCATATTTTCTTCTATTGCGTGTGAGGTAGGTATTTGTGTATATCAGAAACCAAGTGGCATTACTCTAACAAATAGCAGACCATGGAGTTTAAGTTCTGCCATTCATTTCTTCCCCTTTTGAGATAGCATTGTTTGCATGTTGCAAACATATCAACTTCCTCAAAGGCACTCTAGAACTACTCAGTACTGTGGTAGTCCTTGCTCACAGAAAGGTTCAGAGTAAGAACTCTAATACTGTCCTTTGCTTTAGCTTGTAAAACAAGCCAAATGAGATCTCTTTCCTACTGGCACCTCAGAAAAACATTTCCATGGAGGATACAAGAGCTGCAGCTGGGAGGATTGTTCTAGAAGATCAAGTCTATGTGACCTATCAGAATTGCCAAATTTTGCATTGATACCCAAGTAAAAATCCTCTGGATTTGATATTAAGTGACCTAATGCAAAGGACAATCTTCCTGTGGTCACAAGGAGTGTGAAACAACTTAGTAAGCTCTATTTTGTGATTTGCATAGGAGACACATTTTCCAGTGTTGGATATGAATGCTGGCTATAGTAAACTTGGGTGTAGTGCATTACTACAGTGCATGCACTGTCTGCCCCTTTCTGGAAGCTGCACAGGAGGAACTGATCTTGCAAGGCTCTATGACTTTAAGAGGAAGGACATTCGGACAAAAGCCAGGACATGTAACTCAGTATCTCTTCTGCCAAATCTGTGCTTGCTGCTCCTTATTCCTGCTCCTACACTTGTTACTAGCTTGAAGTGAACTGAAGAGGAGGTTTCAGCTGCTAACTGAATTTGTTGGTATGGGAGTAACACCCAAGTTTTACTACTGGAAATGGAAGAGTCCTGCCATTTGAAGTTGAGGAGCTGGGAGCATGACTGTAACACAGTGCAGAAATCCAGCAGAAAGAAAAGACCCCAGTACTACTGTACTGTATCAAATATAAAGGTGCTAGATTCTGTCAGGATGCTTTTGGACACACAACGGTACCAGGCAGGCTCCTAGACAAATACCAGGATGAATGAGTTTTCGTGTTTGCCTTTGGAAGACACAACAAGAGGCCACAGGGGCTGTGTCTTGCCAGAAAACACAGATTTCACCGTTCGTAGGTAAACAAATCATTTAATGCTAAGGTAACATGTGGGTAGAATCCCCTGAGTAAAAATACTCCCAAAATATTGTATTATGTGCTGTGATCAAGCTATGAGTGTTTCCAGTCAGTTTTAAGTAGGAAAGAAGTTTAAATACTTTAAAACATTTGCTGACATACAAACTACCTTCTTTTGGATACTATATATTGAAACTTGAAGGGGGTGGGGAGGAAGAACTTTTTTTGATGAACTGCTGTGTAAACCCACTCATTTAGTATCATTTATTGCTTCTTGCTCAAGACTCAGAATAATACTTAATGTTTCACAGCTATGCATATAAAATAATGGCTCTGCAGAAGGAAAGAATTAACAACAACATGGCAGCTTAATGAAACAAAATCTAAAGCTGTATTTCTTAGTGCATAAAATCTAGTGAAAATGAGAACCTTTTTTTTTTCACTTTCAATAGAAAATTCTAGCCCACTAGATGGAGCCTTTAATCTTTACCAGGTTTTCTGCTGGGCAAGGATCACAGTGTGAAATATTAAAATGAAAAAATGCAAAAACTGTGAAACAGTACTGCTGATTCACGTGGCTCAAATGGACCAATTCCAAGCACTTACTTTCACAATTAGCCAACATTTCAACTAACATAATTAAAAATGCATGTTTTCCATTCAATAAATGAACAGTAATTAATGTAAAACCCAGGTTTGAGCCAGTAAAGGAAATAAGAGGATGTGCAAACCTACTGCTGCTAGGCAAACTTCCTGCTGTGTCATGCATTCTGATGGAAGTTTACAAGGTCAAAGAAGTGGTAAGTTTTATCAGTTCACATCTGATCCATTCCCTTTTTAAAAAATGAATTTCAGTGTTATTGTTAAGTCCTACCAAGAACTTATGTCTTGGGGAAAAAACCCAACCTATTACAACACCCATTTGCACCTTTGAGATTACTTTTCAAGATACAGATTCCAAAGAAATCCACTTTTTTTTTTTTTTTTTTTTTTTTTTTTTTTTTTTTTTTACTATTTAGTATTTATAGTTTTGCTATAATTTGGTACCAAATCCATTTTTAATACAGGATTCCACACAGCAATTTAAAAAAAAAATCTAAATCTCAAAAACTCTGGAAATTCTATAATTTTCTAATTAAAGAGTATTATTTTGGATCACTGAAAGCTTTCTTTTTCACCAATAGTAGTCTCTTTAAAGACTTGATTTAGATAAACCCATAAGTGATTAACTGAAATACCCTGAGCATTAGAAGTTTTGTTTAGTGTTTTGATTCCAATCAAATTGAGTTTACTGATAATGGATTGCTGATGAGGAAAATAGCCAGCTCCTCCTCTGTAGCTATACTATTTTTTTATTACTCTCCATCTATCAAATCAGCAAGGACTTCAATACTAAAAGCAAATGCTGTTCCTGCCTGTTTTGGAGGGGAAGGAAAAAACCCCATCAATATCCCTCCCCACCCAATGAAATCTATAATGAGACAGTTTTTTATGATGTGCCTTATGTTCTTACCTCTAACATGTTTCTGTCTGATGGATTGCAGCATACCACTTATTCGGACCTAAACATGGGCATGGAGAGGACTGACTTTGATGGGGTAGTGGAGGAATGTTTCTCTAGCAGATTTGTTTTGTTTAGATGGTGTTTGAATCTGCCAGGGTTTGAGAATGTTGGACATAATTTAAGAGAAGAAAACTGAGGGCATGTAGGTGAGCTTCCCAAAGGAGCATAATCACAAAGATCATTACTTATTAGACATCTGTTTTTCTGACCAAATTACATGACAGAAGAGATCTCAGTAATCATAAGACTGGCAATTTCCACTCTTACTCTGATAATTTAAAAAAAAGTATACAAAATCTGCAGATGCTATATGAAAAATATTAATCTCAGAGGTAAAATTTTGAAAATTCATAAATCTGACAGATGCAAGAACAATACTTGGAAATGTTAACAGAACTCATCCTACAGGTAATTAAGTTACAGAAATAATCAAAAACCCCAAATCAAAAATTTTATTTTAAAATCTTATCCTATTTATACTTCTACCACAGAAGGGAGTTATTTTTGAGTGGCTGGTACTGAAAATCAGTTATTTTTGAGAGGTACATAAGCCTTGCTTGCAATCCTTGTGCTGCTTGCTTTCTGCCTGGAAACAGAAATAGTGTGGCCTAGTTAAACTAGATTGGAGGTCATCATGTCAAGTGCAGCAAAAACACTCTCAATATCAGGTAAGTCATCTTAATGAATGTATTCATGATCTAATAGACTTATAATTTCTATGTTCCATTGTACTATTTAGGACACTTAAAGTTCAGTCTAGAGAAGAGAGCTTATCTATCTAAAAAAATATATAAATCAATGTTTCACGTACATCTTAGAAGCTGCACTTAAGCAGTGCTTGAGGGAGGCACGTTCAGAGAAAAACTTCATCCTAAACTTGTCACATATGGCAAAACCAAATCGTGTCAGGGTCTCACTACTGTCACCACAAATGGCTAAGGACCAAAGACTATCATGTTAAGCATGTCCCACATAGACACTGTGATACTTATGCTATGCTGCCTTTTCTCAACTATGTCTCAATTACTCCCTGAAATATGTAAAGTCACACCTTGCTGGTTTCCACCACTGAAAATAGAAACAAGGAAAGGAATACAAACAGATTGCCACTGCTGGCATGAATGTGGGGAATATGAAAATAATTAATTATTAATTAAAAGCTGTATTAGAGTGAATGTAATCCTCTTCCCCCTAGGCAAATGTTGCATCAAAATGATAGAAAATTAAGATCAATAAGCTGAAACACAAGCTGAAGTGAAATATTGAATCACCACTTGGTATCCTATTACAGTTTATCTGGAGAGGATTTCCCTGAAGGTCTGTTAGGAGCAAAAATCTGCATTTAAATGGAGATACATTAGTAATGCATGAGCTAGTACTTTGCAGGTCACCCTGTGTCTGCAGAACAGCAGCATTAATTTTGCTATTTACAAATAAAAATCCCAAGTAGATTGTAGACTGATCTTCCTTTCATTCATCCTAGGTTTGCACTGTGGTTAGGCTGACTTCACTGGAATTAATCTTGATTTACACTGATGGATACAAAGGAAAAATTGGGTGCTTGATCTCTGTGCAGTGGGAACTGCAAAACTGGAAGTTGCAAATAACAGTAATTTACAATAAAACATGAACTATTTTCAATAGTGGTACAACAGAAGTACCATAAAGGCTTGCTGAGTCTGCTGGGAGGGGCTGACTAGCCTGGTAGTCAGATTCCCTCAGGGACAAGAGGAGTTTTCAATAAGCAGAAACTGCATTGGGCACTTTTTATAACTATTGTAACTTTGGGTACCTGGTTTTGTAGCACAGAACAATGGTTTTATAATCTCAATGCTTTCATACAAGCAGACTTATGA